TACCTGGGGGCAGCCATCGGCTCAGCTGATTTCAAGGAGAACTTTGTATCGACTAAGGTCCGGGAGTGGGCTGATGAGCTAACTCGGTTGGCTGATTTCGCTCGCTCGCAGCCCCAGGCAGCATATTATGCATATGTCTCGGGCTTGAGAAGTCGCTGGGCTTTCCTATGCCGCGTTCAGTCTATTTCTCCGTCCCAGTTCCAGCCACTGGAGGACGTGATAACCACGAAGCTTATACCAGCAATGACGGGTCGGCCACCGCCTGGCACAGTGTTGAGGGAAGTACTAGCAATGCCCTGTCGTTTGGGTGGCCTGGGCCTGGTCAGCCCTATGACTTTGTGCGCCCAGTATGAGTCGTCTGTCGCCATCACAGCATCTCTCTCCCGGCGTATCGTGGATCGTGTTTCTGATATTGGGAATTCTCTGATTGGCATCCAGCGGGAGAAGGCGAAGAGGAAGAAGGAAGTGCGTCATAGCCAGGCGGAGTCGGCACGGCGTATCAGCAATGATGCGTCGGACGCCTTGCGACACACCCTTGTCCTCGCCCGTGAACCTGGCGCCTCGAGTTGGCTGACTTGCCGTCCATTGAAAAAGTATGGTTTTTCACTGAGCAAAGCTGAGTTCATGGACGGCTTGTACAAGCCTCCGTTATGGTTGGATGCCGCCGAGGTTACCAACTCATTGCTCTTGTGGACGGGACAATGGTATTGACCATGCCTTGTCATGTCCCCTTGGTGGGTTTACCATTATCCGCCATAATGAGATCCGGGATGTGACAGCCTCTCTCCTTCAAGAGACCTGTCACAATGTCTCCATTGAGCCACAGCTGCAGCCACTCACTGGAGAGAGAATGAGATACAGGTCTGCTATTGTGGAGGAGCATGCGCGGCTTGATGTAGCGGTCAGTGGTTTGTGGGGCAGTCGTTTTGAGCGTACTTTACTTGATATACGGGTTTTTAATCCTCATGCACGCTCAAATCGATCTGCACCACACACCACTGTCTATCGGCGCCATGAAAAAGAAAAGCGACGATGTTATGAAGAGAGAGTGAGAGAGGTGGAGCATGCGACGTTCATGCCTGTTGTGCTGTCGGCAAGTGGTGGCATGGGAAGAGCGGCGACATCACTCTATCGCCGAATCGCGTTATTGAGAGCGGAAAGGAGGAAGGAGCAGTACTCCCACGTAATATCTTACATCAGATGCCGTCTCTCATTTGCCCTGTTGCGATCATGCATCATGTGTTTGCGGGGTTCACGGGGTCTTTTCCGTGAGCGATCGGTTCGGCATCCGGAGTCTGCTGAGCTGGTTGTTGCTGAGGCCTAGGTTGCTCGCATGTGAGAATCTATAAATTGCAGCAGATTATTTTTATTATAAATACTGGACATGGATATTGAATTAAACTGTACTCAGTGACTTTTTACATTCTACAGGCTACGTTTTATTGTTGTTATTATTGCAAAGCTTTCCTTTTGATCTTCAAAATTTGAGTAACTGTACACGTACGTACACCATGTGCACGGCTAGCTGTTGTTTCAGCATTTTCATTTTCAAAGTCAAAATGTTACAGGAACGACGGTTACGTGCACGTGTACATACAGTGTACATGACATTTGTACGTCGTGACTTGAAATCAATAATTATGAAACCTGCTCGGTACTGTACTCCTGTTTCTACATGTATTTGTCACCTTCCTGGACTGACGAGTGTAACAACTGGACAAACGGAATCAGAGAAAACAACACAGAATGAAACAAAGAGAGAAAGAATGACCAAACTTACCCCGGTCGTGAAGTACATACATGTACATGATACATGTACATTTGTATCCCTACCAAAATTAATAATTCCATGCTAGTAGTACAGGTGGAATCCTGATAATTCGAATATGGCTTAATTCGAACATACCGCTTACTGATTAGAAAATTTCCAGGACCGATTTCTACCAATACGATTCCCACATACATGTACATGTAATTTGTTCTGGTAATTAGAACCTCGAACTGAACATGTCCGGTTAATTAGAAGTCCCACGGATTCCACTTACATAGAAAATGTGTGGGATTTGTGCTGATAATTCGAAGTTAGCCAAGTGTAATTCGAAGTTCACTGTACACTGTACTGGTCAGTTCAGTTTGCATGGGCAGGCTGTGCCGGTCATTTCAGTATCTGTAAAATCTGTGTCCAAGGTCCAGAGCGCAACTCTGCGTGGCTATGAGAGCATTTTGACATACATAATTATTGTGTTGTGGGTTCATGTTTGGATAATTAGAATGTCCGGATAATTAGAATTTTTTCCTGGCATTGTGAGGTTCGAATTATCAGGATTCCACCTGTAGTACAATCTCCAAGGCAGCACATGTACATGTACATGACTTGTACATGTATCGAAGATCCGGTAAATATGGAGCTGCGGTGCACCAGTGAGCAAAGATGTCTTTTCCCCTCTAACCTTCTTTACAATGATGGTCAAGAAGCTCATATCGGCGCTGCAGTCAGGGAATACCTTCCAAACTACTTACTTGTGCCGATTGTCGATTGTTTGTACTTGCCATTTCCAAGTACAAGTCTCCTGTACAGTACATGTACATGTATATGGCTTCCTTACTTCTTGCCCATGAATAGCTGGACTCTTTCAGATCATTGCTCAAATGCCAATGCCAATAATAGTCTTCTGCGGAGACCTTTTCCAGCCCCCTGCCCGCCCTCCACCTCCTCCGTCAGAAACTATGGCACATCTAGTCTAAGTACAGTACTATACTGTATGTTGGAGCTACAGGTTCACGTGTGAAGGGGGTGGTTTGGGGGTACATCAATGAGTGTTAGAGCTACACAGTACTGCGGAGAAGCTGCCGATGAGAGCAGGCCAGCAGCAGGGGTCAGAACTAGGAAGGGCCTTTAGTTTTAAGTAAGTTTAGTTGAGGCTTTACTAGCTAGGCCATATACATGTAGGCTGTTTAGCACAATCATGTGGACCATGCATTATTATTTTTTGAAAAAGTCCAGTGTTTGACTGACTGACGACATGCGCATATGCACCAGCAGTGACTGTCGAGGTCACCATGGTCACGGAAAGTCCACGCGCACCTAGTACTTAGGCTATATAGTAGTAGTAGCGACTAGCTAGCGTACCTAGTACAGTAGTACTAGTAGTAGTAGTACTAGTAGTAGTACTAGTACAGTCTGTATCGGCTATAGAGTGACCGGATATTAGAATATATCGGCTACAGTGATATTGGTACGAAATATCAAAAGCAAAACGTATTTTATCCAGTACAAATATCACTATAACCAATATTATCGGATATAATGATATATCGGATATTATGATGGCAACATAGAATCAAAACATGCATAACACACTACATTATAATCGGCTATAGTGATAACTTTAAAATACATGTTGCAATAATATCAAAGGCCCTATTTTTTTACTTTCTTCACGTTGCTTATTTTGATAGTGACTCATGTACATGTACATAACAGAATTTTTTTCTGGAAATGCAGGCACTGTCAACTATGCAGCATGCTCATTTGTCAAAACGCCATGCTGGAAATATTTCCTTGCCTTTCATGTGTCGATCGAAAAAAATCGATCGTATCGCATATAGTGATGCATCGGTTATAGTGATAAAATCACGGAAATCAAAAGGGTACGCTATAGCCGATACAGACTGTACGTAGTAGTAGTAGTAGATCTACCTGACTCTGGGTCCGGGTCAGTCTGGCTGGCTGACAGACTCAGTGGCTAGCTAGCTAGCTGTCACTGAGCCGGTAGTTTCCAGGAAAACCTTTCCGGACATCATAATGGTGATATCTGGATAATATCACCTTTAAAAGCATTGACACGGTCAGGTCCCGTCATGCGCGCGTCAGTGTTATATCCAAATAACTAGTTACTTGACATACAGCATAATGGCCTAGGCTACAAAATGCTTTGAATTCATTTCTCTGCCCATCCGGATATCCACTCATCAAGAGTTCGATAAAGTTAGTTTCATCTTTTCGGTGCCTCGTCCTTGTCACTACTTCCGCCATGCATAGTGTAGCTACATGTGATACATACATTCTATCAGGTGGTTCAGGGCCATTTCAAGATCGAAGAAGCAGTCTGATCTTGAGACAAAGACTGAGCTGAAAGGACTTGTCAAGTACTGCCTGTACTAGTAGTATTACTACTATTAGTTAGTTGTGCTGTTGGGGACGCCGGCCTGGGAGCACACGCCGCACATTCTTGACCACGACTGGCACGAGATGATCTACAAGGAGCCACTCGGAGTACGAATAGCACCCAGACGTTCCACTAACTACTGACTCCTTTACTTTGAATGCGGGGAAGGCCGGACCAGGATTTCGGGATGAGCACCAGAGCACTGGAATGGAGGTTGGTTGCGAGAGCTGGTAGAAATACTCTATCCCTAGCCCTGGTCCCACAGTCCGTCAGAGGCAGTGGCGTGTTCCGCCCAGCTCCAACTTCCAAGTGTGCTGTATGCAGTCTATAGAGTATAGTCGCGAGTGGTGACTGAACTGAAGTGACTCAACAGGAAAGTAAGTAACTGGCAGTCTGCACTCTGTAAGCGCAAGGATCCTGTGTAGCTTTCGAAAAATTCGGGAAGTGCAACTGGCAAGTGAAGTGTAAGAAGTGACCATCAATCCGTCAGCCAGTGCAGTGCTGCTTTCACCCGACACACGTGTTCTTCGTCCATCGCCACCTAGGCTAGAGACCTAAACAGCAGATATCTAGATCAGCGTAGATGTACACTACCAGCTGACTTGATATCACGGACAAGGGCTAGAGCGTGAAGCAAGAGAGAGCTGAACAGGTGAGAGTATTCAACACGACTCGATCAAGACGAGAGCGTAGTAGTAGATCTACTAGTACCAGCGAAGATGTACTAGGTGATGCTTGTTCATTATCCTATCGCGTCAGAGCATACTCATACTAGTAATTATTCGTACAGGACGTAGTACTTGGCTACCAGCAATAGATCGTAGTAGCCACTGCCGATCATCACTGCAAGCTGCAGGTAGTGCCTAATGGTGACGAATGGTCCGTAGTGTTCCTGAAGTGCGGCAACGACACTACGTGTGACCTGGTGACTGTCCTAGATTCTTGCTACAGCTGTACTACGGTGCAAGTCATGGAAGTGCGCACATGGAACGGTGGAGGAATCGAGTGGAATGGCTCAGCGAATGCCGTAGTCGTCAGGCCCCGACGCAGGAAGAGACCGTCGCTGTACGACGATGTAGTAGCGGGCCGGGTATCTAGAGACAACGAAGACGCCATGAAGAGAAGCTCTGTATCTAGCGTGGCTGGTTTGTTGCCAGCAAAGGCGACCAGAAAACTGGAACTTGCGAAGAAGCGAGGTGAGAGCGATTTCGGTATCATGCTAACTGGAGACCGACCAGCGATCTTCACCAACATCTCCCATCGCAGTGCTGCCTCCCGGGCTGGTTTGCGGGTTGGAGATGTCCTACTGGAAGTCAACGGTCGAAGTGTTGAAGGCGAGAATCACTCCGACATCGTGGGCAGCATTGCCAAATGTAAGAAAACTGTGACATTCGCAGTAGTTGACGACGAAACATACCGCATCGGTATGTCACTGGCTGGTTTCTCAGCGGCAAACGATGCTCCCAGTGCTAGTCCACCCATGCCAGCTAGCTCCTTGATGCCACGAAACGAGGATGCTTCACCCGCTAGATCCGTTTCTGCAGCTAGCTCGTTAGCCTCGAGATCATCGCTAGCTTCACAATCTGATAACGACTCCGGTAAAAGTCCAACGACGACGACTTGCAGTGGTGGTGCAGTATCGTCCTCGCCCACCATGTCCATGCAATCATCTCTATCCCAGGTATCTCAGGATTCTACCACTGGTACAACATCGCCCCCGACGTCCTTGCGCACCTTTCTCGACACAGAGGAAACACGTTATGACGGAAAGCGCCGGAGTAGCTCGCACCAAAGCGTCACTTGGGACCAGAGGAGTCGCCTCACTACCATGAGTGGTCGACAGTCGGCGACCTCACGCTCGGCACTGGCCAAATCAAAGTCGTTCTCGCAGAGTGATGGATCCATCACGCGCAGTGGTCGCCCAGGGTCCGCGAAAAATAACGTGGCGTTCACGCTGACGGAGGACGTAGTTGTTGGCCCACCTACGGAGACACATCGCGTGGCTGGCGGCTCTCTGGTGCAGCACTATGATTTCGATGTTCTCTACTACGGCAATGTACCGCTCTCGAAAGTGACGACGCAGTGTCAGGAACCGAACGCACTCACAGAGCTGGCGGCAGAAGCCGTGCAAGCAGTTGGCGAAGAAACTGCCGTCAAGGTCGCACGCATGCAAGTATCTTCCAGCGGATTGTGTCTGATTGAAAGGACAGACGAGAAAGATCCCAAACACCAAGTCGACCCCGCATTCATTCCGCGCGCGCACCTCAGCGCAGCATGGTGCAGTCGCCAGTCTCCGTTCCGAATCGCTCTACTCCAGCGCTCTAATCTGTGGTCCATTCCTCCTTCATCTCCACTACATCAGCAAATCATGCACCAACAGTCTACATTGTCGGACAACGGCACTTCAAGTAGTAGGCGCAGCCCGACGGCGTCGTCATCGTCGTCATCGTCATCGCCGTTCTCCGACACTGCCGTCACCACTGCGACGAGCTGCAGAGCTGGCAGTTCTCAGGAGACTGACGGCAACACTACGACTGCACCTAGCCGTCATGTGCTGGTGGTCAATGCGCATGTCGTGGAAATAATTGACAGCAGCAGCAGAACATCACACCACAGTTCACGCGGCGCATCACCCAAGGCTACTAGAGGCAATGTACATTTTCCGAATGGTCAACAGCAGCAGCAGAAGGTCAACACTCCGCCACAGCTACACAGCCAAGCTCAAGGTATCGTCACGTTGCTGTCCACTTTATTTCAGGGCTCTCAAGCACCACCACCACCAGAAGCAGCAGGAGCAGCGGCATTATCTGGAGTACAACCGTCAGGCCCCACTGCTCAGTCCTCATTACCAACAGCTGCTCTTCATTCTCTGCAACACGAAACTTCTGAGAAGGCTGATGCAAGACTTGGGCCCGGCCGTGGCCCAGATAGCAGTGAGCCATTGAATTTAGTGGACGCACAAGGTAGCGTCAGCTTTCTTGGACTGCGAAATCTAACCAGTCGGCCATCACTGGACGGAGGTAGTAAGAGCGCGATTGAAGCCGCTATTGACCGCCACGACACTGAGTTGAATAGAGAAGCCAACAGGTTACACCCCGCAGTTACGTTTGATTGGCGTTCCGCACACCAGATCACCAGCACCTCGTCCACGAGCAGCAGCAGTGTTGGAGCGCGGCAGGAAGACGAGCAGCTGAAAAGAAACTCGGAGGTAAGTCAGTTCAGCAACAAACGTTCCTTCCCGTTAGCTACCTGCGTATGGTGTGACGTTCGTAAAATATTCAGACCTCCGCGTATGTACTTGTAGTTTCTTGGCTTGGTTGCGCGAGCGTGA